TCAGTGATCTGCTTAACCGCGCTGCGGGTGGGGGGCGCTCGGGCCTAGGACCGCCCAGAAAGCGATGACTGGTCGAGGGGACCACTGGCACTGCCCACAACCCTGCAAGGCGAAGTCCAGACCTCAAGAAGGGAGGTGGCACAGCCTCCAGGACAAGCTAGACGCTGGACCCCCGAAGTGGGCGAGAGGTCGAAGATGAGGAAGGACGCGTCCCGCCGTGGACGCTTCTGCTAGGTCCAACTCGTCCTGCAGGCGTTGCTCGGGGCGCACGTCTGCGATCGCGCACGCATCGTGCAATGCACTCCGCGTGCCTGATGCCGTCCAAGACAGGTTTCTGCGCGCCGCTGGCCTTTCGGCCGAGGACGCTTGCGCGTACTTCAACTTAGCACCGATGTGCACTGCCATAGCTCGAGTAGCAGGCCGATCTCAGGCGTCTAGAGAGTCCAAACTAATGCGTTCGGTGCTGATGAATCGATTGGTATAAATCAGGGCTAGCTGCTTTGAGTCGTGGGATCAACTCCATAAACCGAACCTGTGCAAACAAATGCAGAGTACGAGTAGTTGTTCGGTCACGGATCTCAAGCTCGACCTACGTCCTGGAGGATCCCTTCGAGCAGGAAACAACCGTCAACCCTTGAATTCTCAAACGAAGCGCTCTTCGGTCCCTCTTCACGCACACCTGCCACTGCCGGCGGCAAAACCCCCAGAGCCCGCAATCCCAAAAAGCGGCGGCCCCCTTACAAATGAAAGCGGGACGACGGCGTTAGCCTTGCACGGACTCACGACATCCCCGCCCTCAGGACCCCAAGGAAAAGCAGCAAACACCTTTGAAACCGATCTAACAGACGAGCAGCGTCCCGTTCGAGCGACCCTTTTCGGTGAAGCCCCATGTTTGGGAATCATCCCGTTCGCCTTGAGACAAAATTCGATCGCCACCTCCAGGGAACGATTGTGGGCATCCACGGCGAGAGTGATACGGAATATCTCTGGTCTGCTCTCGATCCTTCGAGTTGGTCGCAGACGGCACGCCCGAACTTCGTTGGCAAGCTCGGTCACGAGCATCACCGTGGCCACCTGTTGGTCCAGCACTCTTCTAGCAGATTCTTGGCCTCTGGCGGGTAGTCTGGGCCGTGCCCATTCCGTACACCAGCGCGCTCCACGCGTGCAGACACGGGGGGGTCGCAGAGGGTCCTCGTTCCCTGTACCTGCTGAGCTTGGCTGTGGCACGCGACCCCCGCTGCTTCTGCTGCTGCGACGGCTGCAAGTGACACTGCGACTTGCTCGGGGCAAGACCCCACCTACTTCTCGCAGCTCCGCAGCCCCGCTCAACGCGAGCTTGACCAGAATGACGATGAATTGCGCGAGAAGTGAGAGGCAACGATAGGGGAAGACTGGCATAGGGGGGACGCATCGACCTGGAGTCGGCGATGCATCGCCGATGGATCGGCAATAGGCCCCCGATAGTGACTCCGCACGTTCCTGGGCAGGTTGGGGCTATCGGACCCCTACCGGCGAGGCGATCAATGGGCGATTGGAGGTCGATGCATCCCCCCTATGCCTATCCCCCCCCCTATCGTTGCCCCTGGAGAACGGCCCGCTGTCCACCACCGCTTGCCGACTCCGACGCCGATACCACCAGCGCCTCTGCTGCATCTCCCATCCTTCTCTGCTTCTGCCTCGGCTCCTGCTCCACCATCATCTATTGAGGGGGACCAGGGACACACAAATCAATAGGCACAAATTACAGGATTCCCCGTATGTTCGCATATGTTATGGGGTTTCGTCTTCCCCCCCACTTCCCAGATGTTCCAATAGCTTCCTGGGAATCGACGATGAATTGTGTTTGTGTGCTTCCCTCCTGAATATATGCCAGCGTCTGATCCATGGCGCAGCGGCACCCTCGGGATCTTTTCAGGGCACACGCACAGATGTTGTCGCGAAGGCTTGCGCAGTCCAGCTACATGCGGGCAGAAAGGGCAGGCGAGCCACGGCGGCACACGAATTTCACCCAGATTGCGCGCAGAATCCACTGCACGCTCTCCACGTCAAATACTTTGCGAGAGGTGGCGGCGACAACTCTCCTTATGAGCACAGACTGGACCACATACACAACACTGATCCGACACGGACATGACGCGTGCAAGCTCTTGAAATCCATGGTGTCCGATGATGTGCGTGCCGACTGCCCGTCGATCCCGTAAGACACACCCATCGACTTCCCCATCAGGACCCACTTGAATGAATGTTAAACATCCTCAACGCAATCATCAGGAACGATGTCAGAACTATCCTGCGCATCCAGGAAGCCCACAGGAGGTACCTGGACAACAAGGACTCGCGACCGAACCTGTCGAGGATCGATGCGGCAGAGATCGTCACTTACCTCTGGGTCCGAAAGGGCGAGAAAAAGCACGTCCATGCAAGTACTCAAGGAACTACGCTCCATCATCTAAGCCAGCCAGACCACGAAAGTCAGCAAGCAATTGTCGAGCCCACTGTGAGGCCCATCTCGGCAGACGCCGTTCAGGCGTGACCACAGGGTGCACAACTTCAAAGTATCCAAGGAGAGCGGTGAGAACTTATTGATTCGCAAGCGGGGCCTGCGATAGAGACTGCCAGGATCGCAAGCGTAGAATGGCGAGCTCGGCGCCCGCAGGTACGAGGCGCCACCAACGTAGCACAGCAGAAGAAATCATCGACCTCGAGTGCCCTGGAGCCTCTTTATCAAGTGCCCTTCCCCCCCATAGCCCTCCTGGCAGATCCCGCCACCATATTCTTCAGCTTAGACAGAGCCAGTTCACCAGGCGGAAACCCTTCCAAACCAGAGAAAGCAGTGTTTGGCTTTTCGATCTGACTATACAGCGACGCAGCCAAAGAGGAGGAGGAGGAGAAGGACCTGAGAAGGCGTAAAAGGCTCCAGTAGAGGACAGGAGGACCACCCTCATGGTAGGCACCCTTGCGGGCGAAGCATTTTCAGCAGGCACGCCTGAACGACGCAAAGGAGCGGGTCTTACACGAGATGGCATGTCAAACCTTCGCGGCGGCTTACGCGGGCCGCCAGCGCGGCGCGCTACACTGGAAACAAGGGTGCGCACGCGCGGTTTCACCCGGGCAGCTTGCACGCGAGGCTCCACACAGCTAAACTGCTTCCTGCCGTCGCTCACCTGAGGATGGGGAGTGGGGAATCGAACAGGAGAGGACTGCTCAGGAAACGCCCAGGGCAGTTGAGGAGACGCCACTTGGAGTGTTCGGGAGAGTCTTCTGTCTTGGTGGAAACACCAAAACAACAGCGTCAACAAAAACGTTCGGATGACTGCGCGGATTTCCTGGATCGGCGCTGGACTCCCCTCCCTGCCGCGCGGAGCGCGCCGGGGGCGGCGCCTGAGGCGCCGCCACGTGGGTTCAGCGCAAAACCAAGACATCCGCGCAGGTCCCAAAATTAACATGCATGTGGATAGTCATTATTCTACTGATCCAGGGGCCGAGGTCAAGAGAAAAAGTCATGACATCTGAGGCCTGAGCAAGCAAGCCAGGGTGAGGGGGCGGCGGTTTCCCCCGCTCCTTAGGCCCCCACCCCTGCCCTCTGAAGAGCCTCCTCAGGAGCACCTCGCCGTCGCCAGCGCCTTCGTCGTCGCCCCCAGACATGCAACGACGTACTGCTGCCAGCCGCCGGCCCCCTGGACCTCTCTGGACCTGTCCCCCAGGACCAGCTCTTCATGCTGAGTTGTTTCGTGACGGCCCCGAGGCACGGACACGGCCCCGGGAGGCCGAGGATGGCGAAAAACCTTTCCGGGGCCATCTTTTCGAAGTCCGCGCTGCCGTCGTCGACGTCGCCGCAGTCGCCAGCTGGAGGTCGTCGGCAGTCTCTGGAGGTCCCCGCAAGTGTCCACGGGTCTCTGCGGAGGCCCCAGACCAACGGCCCCCCGAGGCCTCCGAACCCCAAAAGGCGCAGAAACGTCCAAAAATCTCCAGACGCGACGCAGTCGTAGTCGCGGCGGCGGCAGCGGCCGCATTGTCAGTGGCGCCCGCGCCGCCGCCGCCGACCACGAGCCCGAGCTCGTCGCCCCTGCCGTCGTCGCAGCCGATAAACGAGATGGTTCTCCAGAGCCCCCCCCAACAGTGGAAACGAATTATAATTTCGACGCCCTTATTGACGGACTGGGGTGCCACCGATAGAAGAAAAATACTATTATCTGCGGCACCCGCCACGCATCAACGACGACGACGACGACGATTGCGACTAAGATTGCGATTACGCTTGCGATTACGACTACTATCACGACAACTATCAATTATAACATCGCGAGTACAACACGACTACCATCACGACTACAACCACAACCACTGAGTCCTAGTGCAATCCTCAAGAGAAAATGATCACAAATCCTCTCGCGTGTAGGGTTACCAACGCTGGATGATCCCCTGGGAGAAAGAACGACCAAACAGTATCCATCCCGCCGAACAATAGAAGGAAAATAATCCCAGCAGCGATGACGACGACTGCGATTACGACCACGATTGCGACTACAACCACGACTACGATTACGACTACAATCGCGACTACAACACACGATTACAATCGCAATTACAACCACGGCTACAATCACGACTACAACCACAACCACTGATTCAGATTGCAATTCTCATGAGAAAATGCACACACACACACCCTCTCGCGCGTAGGGAAGCCCACCATGGATTACTCCTTGAAAAAACCAACATTACCCAGCCCGCTGAACTGTACAGGGAAAACAATTTCCGCCGCGTCGGCGACGACGACGACGACGACGACGACGACGACGACGACGACGACGACGACGATAACGACAAGGACGACGACGACGAGGATCAGGAGGACGAGGAGGAGGGTCGAGTGTGTACCCCGCCGAGAAAAACGAAGGGGGAGGGGGGCCCAAAGCTGAAGACCCTTACGCTTCACCGCAACAGCCGATGCCGCCGCAATCGTCGCGTTCGCCGCCACCGCCGCCGGCCGCGGCGGCCTCGACAGCGGCGCCCGCGCCGGCGCGCCCCACGGCGGCCGCGGCCTCCGCGCAGGCCGCGCGCATCTCCTCTGGGCTGGCCGCAGCCGCAGCCAGCAGCGCGCCGAGGGCGTCCAGGTGCTCGGCGACCTCCGCGGGGCGGCGGCGGCGGCGGTGGTGGGCGACGACAACGGCGGCGGCGGCGGCTACAACGCCGCCGCCGCCGCCGCGACCAGGGTCGAGGGCGGCGACGGCGGCAGCGACGGCAGCGGCGCCAGCATCGTCGGCCGCCGCCGAGGCCGCCACCAGCGGAAGAAGCGGCGACGGTGCTCGGCGTCCGAGCCTCGGCGCGCGGCCAGGGAAGAGCGGCCAGCGGTGCTCGAAGGGCTTCGGCAGGCTTCTGGGTGCCTTCCGAAGGTTCTCGGAGGACTCCGAAGTCTCCAGGGGTCCTCCCAGGCAAGCCGAGAGGGGGGGTGGGACTGCGAGGCGTCAGGGGGTACTGGATGGGGTTCTTAGAGGCTCGCGGAGGGGGTCTGGGAGGAGCCCAGGACGTGACGACGACGACGACGACGACGACGACGACGACGACGACGACGACGACGACGACGACGACGGTGGCGGCGGCGGCGGCGGCGGCGGCGGCGGCGGGCGGCGGACCGGCGGGGCGACGCCCGCGGCTCCGCCCAGCGCGGCGGGAGGCAACTCGGGCGGCAACACTCCTCGCGCAGCGGTGTTCGGAGGCGCGCCGGCCACCGGCGCCGACGACGATCCCGCCGACGACCTCGACGGACGGCGCCAGCGACCTTGCCGACGGCGGCGACGACCATGAGACCCCGGCGCGGTAATTCTCACGAGCCGGGCGATTCTGCCTCTTCGGGGCCCCGGGGCCCTCACAGATCGACCCGTCGCGGAACATGCGCCGAAAAATTGGGTCCGCGGCTCCGGCCGCGGTGTTCAGTGTTGCAGCTTCTTCGCCACGTCGGATCTCAGGGGACGCCGACGGCCTCGCGGACGGCGCCGTCGACGGCGCCGACGGCCACTGCCCGTGGTCGGCGGCCCCGCCGACGACCTCGAGGGGCGGCGCCAGCGACCACGCCGACGGCGGCGCCGAGCCAACGGCAGCTGAGTTCGCGCTCCGCGAAGCGCGATTAGCTTCGCGCTCTCGCACCGCCCCCTGGGGGAGAAAAGGCGGATGCCGAAGAGGAGGACGAAGAACCGCGAAGCGCGAACCGCCTATAATTTCGCGCCCCTGTGGCGGCCCTTGACGACGCCGACGGCCTCGACGACGGCCCGGTGTCGACAGTAGCCGACGGCCTTGTTCGACACGGGGCCCCCGAGATCCCGACCGCTTCCGCAGCGCCGGCTTTCCATCGGGAGTCGTTTTGTGACGGCCCCCCGGCACGACAGAGATGCCTCCAGAGGCCGAATGCATCGAAGACGATATCCGCCCTGGGCTTTCGCAAGACGTTGGAGGCATGGGTTTGCTTCCCCCTTCCTGAGACAAGCGCGCTGCACTGCTCCGATACATTACATCGATGCAGACATGTGCTTTCTGACGTTTGCGAGTATGCACTTTGCGAGTAGTGGAACGCACTCGGTGATTTCTCCTTCCCCAAGTCCCCTCCACCGAAGACGACCACGACCGGCGAGGACCACCACCACCCCGACAGCGGCGACGCCAACGTCGAAGACGACGCCGCGACACGGGGAACAAAAAGATACCGATACCGATACTACACCTTGCATCTCTGCTGTGATGTGCTTTGACCAGAACTGCAAAGGTAATCCAGCCGTAGCGACGAGGGCTCTCCCGAAAGCCAGTTCCTCCCTTGAGCGACGGCGCTGGCGAAGGCGGCGCCCCACAAACTGGGGCAGATCAGTGACACACTGCCGCGGGGAACGCATCGGCGAGCTGCTTCTGAAGAAGCAAACCAGACCTTCGGACAAAAGCGAAGGAGCAAAACGCTGCCGGGCCGACAGGACGGCGGCGGGGGCCTCTCGGACGCGCCCCGTTCGCCGTCAAGGGCGACGGCGTGCACTCGAGGCCGAAGTGCGAGGCGGGCACGCGCCGCGTGCAGGGAGTGCCGGCTACAGAGGCGCAAGGTCGGGTCGACGCGTCGACGGCGACCGTGGCTTTACGTCGGGCCTGTGCTCCTACAGCGGGATTGTGGACGAATCATAAAACATAACCAAAAAATACACCAAATTCATCAAAGAATGTTCAACACATCGTCCCCAGACTATTTTTTCCCAACCATCCTGTGGTGTTGGGTCCTCGTTTTGAAGAGACGGTGCCCCGCGTTCCCGCCTCCTTCCTCCCTCCTCCCCCCTCCTCCCTCCTCCCGTCATCATCATCATCGTCATCATCATCACCATCATCGTCGTCATCGTCATCGTCATCATCGTCGTCGTCATCATCGTCATCATCGTCATCATCGTCATCATCACCATCATCGCCATCATCATCGCCGTTATCGTCACCATCATCATCATTGTCATCCTCCTCATCATCATCATCATCATCAGCATCATCATAGTCATCATCATCATAATCATCATCATCATAATCATCATCATCCTCCGCATCACCATCACCATCACCATCACCATCACCATCACCATCACCATCACCATCACCATCATCATCATCATCATCATCATCATCATCATCATCATCATCATCATCATCATCATCATCATCATCATCATCAGCATGCGTCCCCTGCACCCATTTCGGCACACCCCTCACACGTTTCGTGGCCCCAAAGGGAGCTCCACCGAAGGCCCCAGTGGCTGCGCTCGCATACGGTTCCACCCCCCTTTTCGGCACACCCCTCACACGTTTCGTGGCCCCATAGGGAGCTCCACCGAAGGCCCCAGTGGCTGCGCTCGCATGCGGTTCCACCCCCCATTCTCGCACACCCCCCACTCGTTTCGTGGCCCCATAGGGAGCTCCACCGAACGCCCCAGTGGCTGCGCTCGCATGCGGTTCCACCCCCCCCCCCCATTTCGGCACACCCCTCACACGTTTCGTGGCCCCATAGAGAGCTCCACCGAAGGCCCCAGCGTCTGCGCTCGCATGCGGTTCCACCCCCCTTTTCGGCAAACCCCTCACACGCTTCGTGGCCCCACAGGGAGCTCCACCGAAAGCCCCAGTGGCTGCGCTCGCATGCGGTTCCACCCCACATTTCGGCACACCCCTCACACGTTTCGTGGCTCCATAGGGAGCTCCACCGAACGCCCCAGTGGCTGCGCTCGCATGCGGTTCCACCCCCCATTCGCGCACACCCCTCACACGTTTCGTGGCCCCAAAGGGAGCTCCACCGAACGCCCCAGTGGCTGCGCTCGCATGCGGTTCCACCCCCCCTTTTCGGCACATCCCTCACTCGTTTCGTGGCCCAATAGAGAGCTCCACCGAACGCCCCAGTGGCTGCGCTCGCATGCGGTTCCACCCTCCTTTTCGGCACACCCCTCACACGCTTCGTGGCCCCATAGGGAGCTCCACCGAAGGCCCCAGTGGCTGCGCCCGCATGCGGTTCCACCCCCTTTCGGCACACCCCTCACACGTTTCGTGGCCCCATAGGGAGCTCCACCGAAGGCCCCAGTGGCTGCGCTCGCATGCGGTTCCACCCCCCATTCGGCACACCCCTCACACGTTTCGTGGCCCCATAGGGAGCTCCACCGAAGGCCCCAGTGGCTGCGCTCGCATGCGGTCGCAGTTTCCTGGCCCAATTCACCTCTCACACGCTTCGTGGCCCCATAGAGAGCTCCACCGAACGCCCCAGTGGCTGCGCTCGCATGCGGTTCCACCCCTCATTCTGGCACACCCCTCACACGTTTCGTGGCCCCATAGAGAGCTCCACCGAAGGCCCCAGCGTCTGCGCTCGCATGCGGTTCCACCCCCCTTTTCGGCAAACCCCTCACACGTTTCGTGGCCCCACAGGGAGCTCCACCGAACGCCCCAGTGGCTGCGCTTGCGGTTCCACCCCCCATTTCGGCACACCCCTCACTCGTTCCGTGGCCCCATAGAGAGCTCCACCGAAGGCCCCAGCGTCTGCGCTCGCATGCGGTTCCACCCCTCATTCTGGCACACCCCTCACACGTTTCGTGGCCCCACAGGGAGCTCCACCGAACGCCCCAGTGGCTGCGCTCACATGCGGTTCCACCCCCCATTTCGGCACACCCCTCACACGTTTCGTGGCTCCATAGGGAGCTCCACCGAAGGCCCCAGTTGCTTCGCTCGCATGCGATTCCACCCCCAATTCTGGAACACCCCTCACACGTTTCGTGGCCCCATAGGAAGCTCCACCGAACGCCCCATTCACAAACAGGCGCACTCGCGCTCAGACTCATTCGCGTTCAGTCTCTTGTAGTCAGAAATATAAGTTTCCTTCGCGTTGTGTGCCCCCGCCACACATTTCGGCACGCCCTTCATGCGGTTCGTGGCCCCATAGGGAGCGCCACCGAGGAATATATCCACAATTGCGGTATTCACAACTACGTATGGTTGGGTCTTTCGTCAGGCTAATTGACTAGTTTTGGATATTCCTCCTGTAGAGGGACAGGCCCGACTTGAATGTGGCTCTCATGCCTGTGAGGTGGACCCGAGCGAAGACGTCCTGGAGGCCTCGGCCACGGAGAGGAGCAGCCGGGCAAGGGCCAGCTGAGACGACGGCGGCCCCCCCCGCCCGCCCCTCCTCCTCCTCCTTCTCCTCCTCCTCCTCCTCCTCCTCCTCCTCCTCCTCCTCTCTCCTCTTCCTCTTCCTCTTCCTCCTTCCTCCTCCTCCTCCTCCTCCTCCTCCTCCTCCTCCTCCTCCTCCTCCTCATCCTCATCCTCATCCTCATCCTCATCCTCATCCTCATCCTCATCCTCATCCTCGTCGGGCCCCGGACCCCTCCTGGGAGGGGGGGCATCCTGACCCGCGGCGGGTCCGCCCGCGGCGACGACGACGAGACGCCTCTCCGGGAGGCCCACAAAAAAACGAGAAACGCAGGGGACGGCCGCTGGTGGCTCGACTGTCCCTCCTCCAATGGCGGACTCCAGCAAGAGGAACGTCGACTTCCAGCTCGTGCGCGCCGGCGGAGGTTTTGCGGGCAGGCCCCCCTCCCCGGAAGAAACGCGCGGCTCCCGCGCCGCGCTGCCGATGTGGGGCCTTGTAGGTGAGGAGATGTGCTGTTCCCTTCGGGCCTCGCGGGCCTCGCGGGTGGGGCAGGGATGCCGCGACTGTCGGGGGCGCGCAACCATGGACTAGCGATCCATGGATTAGCGATCCATGGAGTAGGCTCGCAGTCGCCAAATCCATGGATCGGGGGAGGTGCCCTCCCCAAAATGCGGCCAGTGCCGCCTCGCTCGGCGGCGGCAATCCGCGACTTCCCATGGAAACGGCACCCGTCGCTGGTCCACGCCCCCTTCATCCATGTTTGCGGTCGCCCGAGACTGGAGCCCCGGACTTCACCTTCTTGCCCACATTTCGAGCCGGATCGACCTGCGCTGGCCCCAGGGCCCGAGGCGGGGCAGCGCCGCCCACGGCGGAAAACCTGCGGCGCCTGGCTCTCGGGAGCGCCCTGCTCGGCGGCTCGCCTCTCTCAGGGGCGCCGAGTGCCACCGGCTTGAAGAGGACGGAGGGTAGGAGGTGGATATTGAGGAGAAGGAGGAGGAGGAGGAGGAGGGCGAGGGCGAGGAGGAGCAGGAGGAAGAAGGGAATCAAGAAGAGAGGGGAGAGGAGGAGGAGGAGGAGGAGGAGGAGGAGGAGGAGGAAGAGAAGGAGGATGTGGATGATTAGGAGATGGAGCCTGCGGACCAGGCCTCCAGGGCTGCCACCTGAAGAAGCGTGGGGCTCCCGCGCTCTGCGGGGGCCATCCCCAAACAGGGCTGCGCGTGCAGCGGAGGCCCGGCCACAAGAAGCCTTCACAGGGAACCCAACCGCTGAGACCCCTTGACGTGCATGGATTTTTGGTGCGGGAGCGTCACGCTTTCCATGGCAAAGCCATCGAATCCCAAGAAACACAGGGCACCCTGGAGGCAAGCAGGGTGTTTCGTGGCATGGGCCTCCACTGTATGCTGTTCCGTGCGGGCTTCGCCTGGTTCAGCTGGACTGCTCGCAGTCGTCGTCGTCGTCGTCGTCGTCGTAATCGTCGTCGTCGCCGCAGGCCGCCGAGGCCGTAGCCTAGCTGGACGTCCTGGGCCCCTCAAGCCCCACCCCGCGAGCCTCCAAGCTTAGGGCGACAAAATCTATACATATCCACCGCTCCCTGGCCAGGCCAAGCCTGAAACCAGCAGCGGTGTATACGCCACGCCCTCCTTGCTTGGCCAGGAGGGCGTGTACACGGCTCCTGGGTTCAGGATGGGCCTGGGCAGGGAGCAGTGGAGATGCATAGCTGTCGTCGCCCGAACGTTGCTGCTCCCTGCTCCGGCGCCCCCTGACGCCGTTCCCTGCTGTCGCCCTGGTCCCCTGCCCTGGATGCTCACTCTGGACCTTCCTGGGGACACTCGCTCCACTCGTGCCTCGAAGCTGCGTCGAACGTCCGGCGCTTTGAGCCGACCTTGAGTCGAGCCCGAGTCGAACCTGAGTCGAGCTTGAGTCGAACTTGAATCGAACTCGAGTCGAACTGGGGTCGAACTGGAGTCGAGCAGATCTGTCTGGTGGGCCCCAGGAAGGCCCCCATGACGAGCATCGAACCTGCCGCTCCCCCCGAAGAGCGCGGGTCTCCCTCGCAGGCGAGGCACAGCCCCAGCAACCCCTGGGCCAGCGCCATGGGCGGCTCCGCCGCCGACGCGGGGCACCTCGTCCGGGCCGGGCGGCGGGCGGCCTCTCCTCCCGTGCTGTTTGCCATCCTCCTCCTCCTCCTCCGCCTCCTCCTCCTCCTCCTCCTCCTCCTCCTTCTCGGGACTGCGCCCCGAACGAAATTCAAGAAATCCTCCTCCTCCTCCTCCTCCTCCTCCTCCTCCTCCTCCTCCTCCTCCTCCATTCGTTTTTCCTTGTAAATCCGCCGATCCGGCGTGTGAGTTTCAAGGAGTCTCAGCTACAGCCTCGAGGCTGAGCCTCAGCCTCTGGGGGGGTTGCCGGGGTGGCTCTGCCGGGGAAGGGGGGATGGGGGGGGGGGGTGCGAGTTTCCGGCGGATGCGGGGGGGCTGCTTTTACAGAAGGCTCTAATCTCGAGGATGCGCTACAAGGGTGGCCGCGGCCGCAAAAGTCTCTTAGGACGGTCTACGAAAGTCCCGAGACCCCGAAAGATCGCCCGAACACGCCCAAGATGGCCCCAAGACGGCCCAAGAGCCTTCCAAGACGTCTGAAGAGGCCTCCAAGAGGCCTCCCACGAGGGCCCCCAGAGGCAAAAATCGTTGATTTCCATTGGTTTTTTTTCATGCTTTTGGGGTTGTCGCTTTTTTCGGCTTTCCGACGCTCCAAGACGGCCCAAGAGGCCCCCAAGACCGCTCGAAGACGGCCCAGGAGGCCCCCAGACAGTCCCAAGACGGCCCAAGAAGGCCCCAAGGCGGCCCAAAAGCTACCCAAGACGGCCCAAGAGGCCCCCAAGACGGCCCCAAGAGGACCGAAAACAGGGACGAAAAGCAAAAAAAATCTAGCCTTCCAGCCCACGAGGCCCCCAGGAGGCCCCAAGAGCCCCCAAGAGGGCCCCCAAAAGCCCCCAAGAAGCCCCCTCGACGCCCTGACAGGCTCCTGTGCGAGTGTCTGTGTGTGTGGTGCGTGTCTGCGAATGTCTGTGCGTGCTAGTGTCTGGCGTGCGCCTAGTGTGTCTCTGTATGTGTCTGCCGTATGTGCATTTGGTCGTGTGCGTGCGTGAGGTGTCCGCGAAATATGTGTATCCGAGCGACCCGGATCGGCGGCACTGGCCGAAAGCCACTACAATAAACTTGATTGTCGCACCCCGAGGCCAGTCGGAACGGCGAGCCGGGCGTTTCGCCTGAGACCTCCTTACCACTTATGGTCCTGAAGCTCAGGAAATTGGAAACAGCTTCACAACTTGAACGCGGTTCATTTCCAAAATGTGGCTTTCGCCTTAGCGCCGCGAGAATTCTCAAGAATTTGCAAGACCTTCACGGATTGAGGGCGGGCCGTGTTCAAAAGGTGGCTCTCGCCCTAGCGCCGCGCACACTCGTCTGAAACAACTGCAAGGGCTTCACGAATTGAAGGCGTTTTTTGTTCAAAATGTGGGTCTCGCCATAGCGCCGCGCACCCTCGTCTTAAAAAATAGAAGATCTTTACGGGTTCACATGTACCAGAAACTGCGTTTGGGAACCATTTCGGATTGCTCGGGCGCAACAGTTGCTTCGATTCGCGGTGCTGAAGTCCCAGGAATGGCGTTCTGGCACGATGCGCGGTCGTCAAGACGCAACAGTCAAATTGATTCGCGTCGTTGCAGTTCCGAGAATGGTGTTTTGGCGCGCTCTGGGATCTTCTAACGGATATATCCCAAGGGGGCACCCCCCTGAGTGGAAACGAACCCTTGTATGGGGCCTACGAAGAGTAAGTTTGAAGGGACCACTATTCCCACATCGTTAATGACTCGTGGGCGTACATTGGTCCTCCTCTTCCTCCTCCTCCTCCTCCTCGTCCTCCTCCTCCTCCTCCTCTTCCGTCCTTCTTTCCCTCCCTCCCTCCCTCCCTCGGAGCATCCCTCCCTCCCACCCTCCACCCTCCTTCCCTTTTTCCCTCCCTTCCTGTTTCCATTTCTTCCTCCCTCCTTCCCTCCTTCCGTTCTCCTCCTCCCGTTCCTCCTCTGCCGCCTCGACTTCCTCCTCCTCCTCCTCCTCCTCCTCCTCCTCCTCCTCCTCCTCCTCCTCCTCCTCCTCTCATACTCCTCCTCCTCATCCGCCTTCTCCTCCTCCCCCTCCTACTCCTCCTCCTGCTTCTTCCTCCTCCTCCTCGTCCTCCACCTCCTCCTCCTCCTCCTCCTCCTCCTCCGCCTCCTCCTCATCCTCCTCCTCCGCCTCCTCCTCATCCTCCTCCTCGTCCTCCTCCTCCTCCTGCTCCTCCTCATCTGCCTCCTCCTGTCTCATTCTGCTCGTCCTATTCCTCCTCGTGATAATCATCCTCTTGTTCCTCCGCCTTTCCATGTTCGTCGTATCATTATCATTATCATGCTCATTGTCATTAGCATGCGTGCGGTTACTAAGAGCGTTAATCATACTCCTGATATGAGAGAGCGTGATCCACCGCCGCTTTACTGTGGAAAATTGCCGCCCTTTTCCTCCGGAGCCTGGGGGTCCCCCCCCCCCCTCCGAAAATCCCCCCCCCTGCTGGACCCCCCCTCCCCCCCCCCCCCCCGGCAAACCCCCCCCCCTCCCCTAACCCCTCACCCCCCCCCCTCTCGAAAACCGGGGGGGGTCACTACCGTTCGACCCCCCCCCCCCCTCGAAAACCGAGGGGGGGTCACTACCGGTTCGAACCCTCCCCACCCCCCCCCGTTTTCACTGCCAGCAAACGACTCCCGGTCCCTACCACCGTCCTCACCACATCCCCCACTGTTGTTCCCAGCACCACTGTCCTCACCACCAGTCCCCACTGGTTCCACCACCGCCCCTACTGTCCCCACGAGTGCCACCACCACTGTCGCACTGTCCCCACTGTCCCCACCACTGTTCCCACCACGGTTCCACTCTCCCAACTCTCTTCACGGCCCCAACCACTGCCCGACTATCCCCAATGTCCCCACTGTCCCACTGACTCCTCCGCTGTCCCACTGAGCTGTCCCACCTCTGTCCCCACTGTCCCCACCACTGTCCCCACTGTACCTCTGTCCCATTGTCCCACCGCCGTCCTCGCCACCGCCTTCACCACTGTCCCCACCACCACTGTACCATCCACTGTCCTACTGTTTCCACCACATTCCCACTGTCCCCACACCACTGTCCCCACCACCACCGTCCCCACCACTGTCCCACTGTCCCCACTGTTCCCACCATTGTCCTCACCTTTGTTCCCACCACTACCGTCCCCACCACTGTCCTACTGTCCCCACCACTGTCCCGCTGTCCCCTCACCACTGTCCCCACCACCACCGTCCCCACCACTGTCCGCCCCCCCCCTCGGTTTTCGAGGGGGGGGAGGGTTCGAACCGGTAGTGACCCCCCCCAGTTTTCGAGTTCAAGGGTGGGGGGGTGGTTCGAACCGGTAGTGACCCCCCCCCCCTTTTCATGATGAACTGGGGGGGGGCGGGATTCGAACCGGTAGTGACCCCCCCCGGTTTTCCGGAGGGGGGGGGGTTCGAACCGGTAGTGACCGCCCCCCGGTTTTCCGCCAGCAGCGGTAGAACACGCTCTTTCCCTGATATCAGTCATAGCATTATATTTACGGGTGTTAATGGTATTAACAGTATTGGTATCATCATGGTTAGTAGTATATGTATTAGTAATGCTGGTATTGGCATACTGAATATGATTTGTACCCGTAGCATCCACACTTGTAGTACTACTCAGATTGATAGCGTTGGTAGTAGCAGTACCATTCCTAGTACAACCAGTATCAGGGTTGTAAGTATTAGCATTCGCAGTATCAGTGTTATGACTAGCTGCAGGTTTCACATGATTCGCAAACTTAACCGTACAATTGTATTCGCATAATGATACGTAGTCTGAGTGCGCTTGAAAGAACTAGTAAGTTTAGTGCTTGTATTAGTCACAGTAGTAGTAAAACCACTAGTCGTAAGA